TACTTATGCATTTTAAACACGAAATTATTGTTCTCTAATGTGTCTAGAAAATAATTGGTTAATTTCTTTAAAGGTTAATCTAGACTATGGGTTAATTTCTCAATGTCATGCTATCGTTTGTCATTTTGTAATGACTCGGAAAAATTTAGCTTGTAGTTAGGTTTACTCTTCTTATTCCGGTTTGTCACACCGATTTGTCGTTCCGAAGATTAACATCACACTGGGAAAACTAATTTCCCTTGCTGAACAATGCGACTTCTTGTACACTTTCTCTAACAACATTGGGAAATCGGACCGAAGCAAAGGTTTCGAAAAAATTCCAAAATGAAAATCCTTATGAAGTAATAAAAAGGCGTTAAATAAATTTACACACATAAATCAATTTTCATTTACTAATCTTTACTTAAAAAGGGTAAAAAATATTGATTTATATAAATTAATTAATTATTTATAGAAAGAATGACATTAAAATGATTCCCATCCCAGGTCTACGATGTCAGCGCCATCAAGGTGAAGAATGTGAGCAGTGGCACAGTTGGCAAGGCTGTCACCTTCCTCGTGGAGACCTCCCAGGCTGGACCCGGCAATTTGGAGGTGACCGTGAACGGAGGCAGAGTTCCAACCTCCGCCCAGGCCCAGGGTCAGCACACCTATGCCATCAGCTTCACGCCCCGAGAGGCGGAGAGTCACACCGTGGAGCTGCGCTTCAATAGCCAGGATGTTCCCGGTTCCCCCTTTACATGCCGCGTGGCAGCCGCCGCTCGTATCCAATCCCCGGAGACCATGGACAAGGTCAGCGTGGGTCGTCTCTTTGAGTTCGTGGTGGAATCGGACACAAAGCCCACAGTTGAAGTACTGGGCCCTGCCAGGCGGAGTGTTCCCGTGAAGATCGACCCCCTGGCTTCGTCCACCCTGGGCTACAATGTTAAGTTCGAGCCCATGGAAGTGGGCGACCATTCGGTGGAGGTTCGCCTGCCCGGCGGAGGTCATGTGGAGGGCAGTCCCTTCCTGCTGAAGGCCTACTCCGCCGAAAAGGTCATTGTCACAGACATTCGTGCTGGCGTGGTTAACAAGAGCGTGAGCTTTGGGATCAATGCCTCCCAGGCGGGGGCCGGCAACCTGGAGATCATTGTGGCCGTTAATGGTAAAAACGTACCGAACTTTGTGCAATCCGAGGGCAATGCCCGGTTTAAGGTGAACTTCAAGCCCACGGAAGCGGCCACCCACTCGCTATCGGTGCGATTCAATGGACATCCGGTACCGGGTTCGCCATTCAGCTGTCACATCGCCGCTGCAGCAGCTTCGCCGTCGATGGGACTGCCCCGGGCCATGGCCATGGGAGAGTGCCTGAAGCAGGCTGCCGTCAAGATGGACAACACCTTTGAACTGGAGGGTTTCGAGGGCGTGGAGCCGCAGATCTTCGTGACCTCGCCGTCGGGGGACAATGAGCACTGCCAGTTGAGCCAGCATGATGGAGGCAGTTACTCCGCATCGTTCCGTCCCACCACCGTGGGTCGTCACTTGATCAGCGTGACAGCCAATGACCAGCACATAAACGGATCCCCCTTCAGTTGCAATGTCTTCGATGTGTCCAGGGTGAGCATCAGTGGGCTGGAACAACAGTACGGACCAGCCAACCTGGGTGTCCCAGTCACCTTCAGTGTGGATGCGGCAGGAGCTGGTGAGGGAACCCTCGAGCTGGTGGTCTCCACCGACAGCAGCACCGTCAAGGCAGAGGTGGTGGCCTGTGCCCGGGGTCTCTACGATGTCACCTTTGTGCCCCAGAGCACGGAACCCCACTACGTGAACATCACCTTCAACGAGGTTGCCGTGGATGGCAGCCCCTTCCGCGTGGACATCCAACAGCACACGCAGCACATTCAGATTGGAAGCTTGGCGGCCATTGACTTCCCGGCGGACGATCAGATCGTCGAGATCTTTTCGCCGGATCAGAAGTCCGTTCCATATTCGATTAACAGGCAGACGGCGGAGTTCCGTACCCACATGACCGGGAACTACACGTTGCGCTTTATAGATCGTGAGTCCCGTCAGCACATTGGATCCCGCACTCTGTGCGTCTTTGATCCCACTCTGGTCAAGATCACCGAGGTGAGCGAGGCTTTCTGTCACCGTCCGGCCAGCATTGGAGTGTCCTTGAACGAGGCTGGACAGGGAGATCTGTCCGCTTTGGTGCGTTGTGGAGCCACCGAAGTGCCGCACACGATCCGGGGACCCAGCAAGACTGGGGTCTACGAGATAGTCTACCAGCCCACCCGTGTGGCTCCCCACAAGATCAGCATTCTGTTCAACGAAGTGCCCATCTCGCTGAAGCCTCTGGAGATCAATGTCCTGCCCGCGAGTGCTGGCAAGGAGATCAGCGTCAGTGGACTGGGATTGTATCAGTCTCGAGTGGGTAAGACCACTTCGTTTGCCATTGACACGGTCAAGAGGCCGGCCAGGGAGTTCGATGTGGTGGTTTCCGGACCTGGAGGTCAGGCTCTGCCGGTGAGATGTTATCAGACGAAGAATGGACACCTACAGGCGGAATTCACCATCAACAAGCCGGGACAGTGTGTGATTGGTAGGTAATAATATGATATTCCAATACAAGACTCTAATCCCTATCTGCCTACAGAGGTACTGCACCAGTCGAAGCCCCTGCCCGGCAGTCCGTTCACCTGCGAGTCCTTCGACAGCAGCAAGGTTACCACCCAAGGGGTCACCAAGGAACCGCTGGCCCTCCACAGTCCAAACAGTTTCACCGTGCGTACGGACAATGCCGGAACCGCCGAACTGGAGGCCTTTGCCATATCGCCCAGCAATCAGAGCATACCCGTTCTTATAGCCGAACAATCCGAGGGTGTCTACAACGTGGAGTTTGTGCCCTCGCAGCCGGGCAACTACAAGTTGACCCTGATGTACGGAGGAGAGACGATTCCCAGCTCACCGCTGAACTTCACCGCCTCCTCGAGTGGAGTGAGGAACGACGCCCGGGCCGCTGGCCACGGACTGGAGGTGTGTCATCGGAACAAGGAGGCCTCCTTCGTGGTCTACTGTCCCATAGCCCCGAATGTTCAGATCGAGCGATTGGGCGAGTATGGCGAACGGATAGAGCCCAAGATCAAGGCTCTCGGTAACAATGAGTGGCGCATTTCGTACACAATTCTCTCGGTGGGCAAATACGAGATCCGAGCCAACTGTCCGAACAGGGGAAGCTTGCCGGGATCACCGTGGCACATCAGCTGCGTGGAGTCCAACAAGGTCACCCCCGTTGGCGGCTGGGGAACTCTGGTGGACCATGACGGCCGCCTGATTCTCCCCGCTCGAATCATCTTCGATGTTGAAAACGCGGGACCGGGAAAGCTGGTCTGCAGCATTGATGGTATCGAAATACCGGTGGACAAGTTGGTCGACGGCAAGATGTGCCTGAATATCACGGGCGAGAATCTGGCTGCCGGCGAACATGATTTGGATCTGACTTGGAGCGGGCTGACCATCACCCAGTGTCCAAGGAGTGCCTTTGTCACAGGCCAACAGGCGGCAGATAAGGTGCAGCTCATGGGACGTGGGTTGGCTGCAGCTCAAGCTGGAGAAGCGGCTCATTTCACCATCGACGCCTCGAATGCGCCGGCCGGCAGACCCGAGGTGATCCTCACCAGCCAGGACAACACATCGCTGCCAGTTAGCTTGGCGCAACCCAGGCCCAGCGAAAACATCTGGATGGCCTCGTACACTCCATTGAAATCCACAACCGGCACTCTGAATCTCTCCGTTAAGTGGAACGGTCGTTTGGTCAAGGGATGTCCGCTCACGGTGGCTGTTGGCTCTTCCATGGATGCCTCCAAGGTGATTGCCTCCGGCGAGGGACTGCGTCACGGGATAGTCGGCAAGGACATCAAGTCCTGGATAGACACCAGGAGAGCAGGACCTGGCGAACTCACCGCCCACTGTGCCGGCGTACGCAAGGTGGCCTATTGCGAACTGTACGATCACGGCGATGCTACCTTTACATTGAACATTAAGCCCCAGGAACCTGGTCGTCATCTATTGACCATTAAATACGGAGGTCAAAATGTTCCGGGCTCGCCATTCGCTCTTAAAGTGGCCGGAGCACCGGATGCCAGTAAGGTGGGTTGACATTAAAGTCTTTAGAATTCTTTCCTTATCTAACCTTTTCCTTAAATCATTTGTATCACTAGGTTCGTGTCTATGGACCTGGAATAGAGCATGGAGTGCTGGCCACCTTCCAGTCCCGCTTTATCTGCGACACTCGGGGTGCTGGAGCTGGTCAACTAACAGTTCGGGTTCGAGGACCCAAAGGAGCTTTCCGCGTGGAGATGCAGCGAGAGAGTCAGAAAGATCGCACCATACTCTGCAAGGTAAGATATACAATTTAAACCCTTAAACAAATATATCTAACTACATTATTTTTGACTTTCAGTACGATCCAACCGAACCAGGCGATTATCGAGTAGAGGTCAAGTGGGCGGGCGAATTTGTGCCAGGCTCACCTTTCCCCGTCATGATCTTCGATACTGAGGAGGAGCTACGAAGGTTCTTACAGGGCATATGAGGCCAGCTCAACCACCATGTCATCGTCTTCCCCAGTGGCCTCAGCCCCCTGCCCATTAACCGCAATCAAACGCGGCGACGAGCCCCAACTTGTTCTCCCCTCTAGTTGAACAAGTCTGGAAATCCATCCCCTTGTAGTATATATACTTAAGCTAACCATGAGACCTAATGCGTAAAATGTTATACTAATCGAACTATCTAACTTTAAAACAGAATGAACCGAATAACTAAATCTTTAGGCTAATCCCAAGCGAAGGCTTTTGCTTTCGATTATTTATAGTTTTAATATGTTGAGCAATGTAAAAACTTGCAATTGGTTTAATTATTTAGCATTGTATGCAATACAAAAATACATCATTCAATAAATACATACCTGCGTTGAGATTATTTTTGGGGGAATTTGAATTCTTTGTCAATTCGATCTGAAATTTATTTTTGTAATACAAAAACATATGTATTGGAGTATTGAAACATGGAAAAACTAAGGCAAACTAAATTATAGATTAAAGACACCCCAATCCTCTGGCAAAGCAAATTCATGGGTGAAGTCCTTGCGATACGTTCGAACGAAATCGATTACATTTTCCTCGAGCCTCTGCCGCTGCGTGCTTTCCAAACTGCTCCTGGCATTATTGGCATCCTTGTTGTTCATCAGCAGCATGGCCAGCAGAAGTCTGCGATTCTTCAGTTGTAGATCCTCGAATCGATCGTGCATGAGGAGCTCTGTCCAGGGCTGTTGAAAGAAGTCCAGGAAGTTTCTAATCCAACCGGACTGAAAACGACCACGCAAATCATTTAGAAGCATAGCATGCTTGCCGCAAAAGTACTCCATGAAGTAAAGTCGTTTTGGCTGAGGTTTTATTATAAATTAATCGGATTATTAATCCCATCAACCGAAATAACATACCCTCTTGGTAACGCAGACAATCTCTATGACAATTAATTTTCTGTTGAGTCGGATGCGGCAGAAGTCTCCATTTTCGTAGGTGGTCATGCTCTCGGAAAAATCGATGGGAAGTTGACCTATAAGCATGGGCTTCGGCTGGGTGAACTTGATGATTTGATAGCCCATGGGCAGAATGCCCGTGAACATGAATGGCCTCGAGTATCGCGACTGCATCACAATCTTTACCATGTTTAATTCGTAGGCCAACTAAGGAACCAAGGACTAGGTAGCCATCAAAAGAAAATCTACGAACAGATACTCACTTTTTCAGCCATTTCTTGAGGACTGGTAAAAGTGTACTGAAAGTTGGGTTTGGGTACCATGACAACATTTCTACCAGCGGCGTATATGTTTCGATCATTGGTGCAATATCGTGCATTAACCACGATCTTCCTGTCACTCAACTCAATTCCTGCATTAGAGAGAACTGAAAAAGGACGAGAAACTGGATGAGAAAATCGATGTTCTGGAAGTACCTCACCATTTTCCAAAGTTGTACTTATAGTATTCCCATTATAGTTTACAAAGAGATCGCAATCCAGCAGAACTTTTTTTCTACTTGGATGCGTTATGAACTCCACCTGCTCGATATACGTGTTCTCTTGGCACAGAATAAGTTGGCTGTAGTTGGTGGACAAGTGGACCGTGATCCCCAGATCGGCTACCATTTCCAAGATAATCGGATCCAGTCGAGAGTCCACCTCGGGATTTCCCAGCTCCTCCAATACCGCTGGCACATGGGGCTGTACATATGTGATGTTCTCGGCATTACAGCCATGCGTGACCAAAAAGTGAAGGCACTCGTAGGCGCACAAATTATACCCGTAGACAATAATGTTAAAGTTCGTCATAGACTCAACCATCTCGCGAACCTTGTGGTAGAAAATAATCCTGTCCAGGCGATGATTATTGACCACATAGTTTATTGGCATCGGATGCCCTTTGAATTCTTTGTCCTGAAAACCGAACCTCGTGGCAGCCATTAGGATCAGTTTCTCGTAGTACAACTTGCAGCCGTCCATTAGTTCCACTATCTTTTCCTGCCTATTGGTATTATAAGAAGAAATAAAAGTATGATATCTACAGCTAATATTTGAGTTTCTTGAGGCACTGAAGTCTCTCACCTCTTTATAGTCTTGAGAACTCCGGGAACAAAACGCACCCAGTGCCTCACATCCATACGCTGCATTACGTCCCTCACAAAGGGATTCAAGTTCCCGGTGTCCACATAGCAGTTCCGACCATTCGCGCAGTAGCTGCATGAAAATTCGTAATCGTAGGCCGATTCCATTACTCCGTGACCCACTATCACTGTGATGTCCACCATGGGGAGGCAGTTGTACTTCTTATAATTGATCAAGCTGACGGAGAAATAATGTATATATTAGTTTATACCTTCGTATATGAAATTAAAATGTAGATTTCAAAAGAATCTTGAAAGGTATATTCTAAACTTTTGCAGAAAACTGAATTGAAAAAGAACTAATACATTACACAATTTACTTACTAACTATATATCGTTTGCATGATAAATCTTACTCTTTAGAATTCCAGGCGAAGATGACGGTCCGCAAAAAGGCTAGACTTGTGTGCGAGATGCCCACGATTACCAGGGAGTTCTTTCCACCCATGTGCATGGTGGGCTGAAGATTGTGGCAGAAGAGCCGCAGGCGGCTGATGCAGATATCCACAGTGGAAGTGCGGGAAGCTTTTGATACCCGTCGTTTAATGGAATAGCACCTGTAATGGAAGAGATTCTTCTTCATGCGGCGAGGCTCTACGGGCATCATGTTGTACATCAGATCGTTGGGCAGCGAGATTCCCTAGAATTAGGAGTTCGGTTATTATTTTCGATGACATTTTTTAACCCAAAGTGAACAAACATTAAAGTAGTTTATATAGTATAATTCTCGGTAATTATCGTATAAAGCCACTGTGCGAAGAATCGGATTGCACCACATCTGGAAGAACGGGTGCAGCCTGAACATGACAATCTCTCCACGATTGTGCATCAGCGAGAACTGATCTCGTGGCATCATGAATACCTTGCTTAAATCATCGTAAATCATAAAGGGGCTAAAGGTACCATATAGGGCTGGGTTAAATATAAATATTATAAAAAATTGTTAGTACCACCTTAGAATCAGAAAGCCCACCAATGGACAGTCGGTGTGCTTCTTGGATTGACCACAGCGAATGGTGAAACAGGTCAGATCACTCATGGGATCCTCGAGGATTTCATCGATGATATCATCAAAAATGCCCAGAACCTCCTGCGTATATTCGTCGAGTATATTACCATCACCAATATCATCATCCAAAAATGTGTCCCTTTTGCGGCCCTGCGAGCTTATAATGGTTCTGACATCTTCAATCTCCTGTCTTTCAAAGCGCTGTACACGGAGCTCCCCGAACAAAGTACTTCGATGAGCAACGAACATGTTTTCGGACACGGAGCTACTTGGACGATGGGCAACCGGCTAAAGGATACGAAATTGGGAAAATGGAATTTCTAGAACTCGATTTCCATCACTTACCAAAAAGAACCTGAGCAGTTCCCGCTGGCAAGGACTCGTAGACACGGTGGCTGGCACCATTGTCACACAGTAATCGTGATCCGGAAAGGCACTGAACATGGCTGACAAGGAGTAGTATGTGTACTCAAAGCGTACCAGTGGATGCAACTGGAACATCTTAAGCAGGAATCCATTCGAGGCCTTTCCCAGGTGCTGTAGCCTACTTTCGCTGTGGGAGTGTTCGCCAGGTGGCAAATCGAAAGCGATCTCCAGTTTGTCTTGACAGGCTTTCATATAGTAGTTTGCCTTACGGAGTTCTAATATTTGAATATTTATTTTAAGAAACCACCTATGAACTTATTCCTTCTCACCATCATAAATATGCTTATACTTTCTGAACAAAACATTCTTCGCTTCATCTTTTCCATCTTGGTTTATCTTACTCTCTCGGTTTTTATATATTACTTCCATTTGCGACTTGGTATACAACTGCTTAAAAGACTTTTGCTCCACTGAGCTATAAAAATGAAGCGTTTAAATAAATAACCTTATTCAAGTTTCTTAACAACTAACAGCACGTCGAAATGCACACGAGCATGTTTTATTCCTGGTGTATATCGCGCCAAGTTACCCAGACGTTCCAAGTGAAAGTTTGTTGCCAGTTTTTCAATATCTATTGAATCCGATAGCCACATTAAGCCTGCGCCCTTGACATTATCTGCAATCTCCTCTTCAAACTGCAAAAAAAATAGTTTTTATAGATAGCTAAGAAAGAAAAAACCTACTTTCCTCGGCAATTATAATCTTATCATCATCCTCAGAACCATCCACATTTAGCAGGTGCTCTGCAATGTAAAAGTCTCCATGCTTTTTCCTCAGTTCCGGATCCTCGGAATCAATCATTTCGACAATATCGTCATTGTCCTCGGGTCTGTAAAAAAGGAAAGTAGGGGAATGGATAAAGATTTATACGAACAACTCACAGCGCTTTGCGAAAAGAGATAACTGGCATGATATTAAGCCGATGGATCACGATGACAGCGGGGAGATGCTTCTGCTCAGAGACTTTTGAGTACTTTGGGTAATAGGTTTTACCCAAAGCCTGAACGGCATCATATTGGCCTGGTGGACAATCCGGGGGTTTGACCACCAGCACATAGCTCACCAAATGCTCATTATAAAAGACCTCCAAGATGATATTTTTGAGAATATTTGGTTGGCCCTCTTTGCAGATGAAGAAGTTGAAAAAGATGGAATTGAGCAGCGTGATGGGGAGATCTAGGCTTTTGGGGCAGTTGAATCAGGGATCTACTAGGTGGAAGATACTCCCAATCTGACGTACCAAAACCGAGCACTCAGCCAGTGCAGCCAGAGATCGTTATGCAGGACCGGAATATTTGGATGGTTGGCGAACTCGCTGTAGGCCAGCAGTAGATGAAACTCCTGCTTGTTGTAGACCAACAGCCGTTGCGCCTGGTTCCTAACAAACAAGGTATCCAGCGGCGGTGAGTCCTTCGCCCCAAAGTGCCAAGTGTTCTTGGCCTCAAAGAGATCCTCTATGCGCCTCACATCCCGAATTCCCGCTGTGACGATTAAAGTATTGTCTTGAGGCAGGGGCATTTTATCAAAAAATTTTGTTCAACGTGTATTTGAGTTGGATCACTACTGCACAAGGAAATCGGAAAGTACAGAAACGGACTGCTTAGCTTGTGAAAACTATGTCTCTGTCGATTCTGATGACACATCACTCTCCTCCTCCGTCTCCAAGTGTCGTTTGAATTCGGGCAGATCCAATTTGTGGAAATCCTCGGGAAGGGCAAATTCATGTAGAAAGTCTCGGCGATGCTCTCTCAGGAAAGAAAGTAGTTTGATCTCTATGTAGCGCTTGTTCAGCGTGAAGAAATCCATATCGGTTACATCACCCAAGGCACCGCGTTCAGCACGCTGTAAAGGAAAGACCATTAAATAATGACCAAGTTTGATTATTAAGCACGTTATAGACCCACTGAAAGCGCGGAAGAAGCCATGGGAGTGAGAAGTGCCCTATTTTCTTCCTGAAGGTCCTCAAAGTTCTCGTGCATGATCAACTCTGTCCAGGGCTCTTGAAAATACTTCAGAAAATTGTGAATCGTGCGGGCCTTAAAGCGCGACTTGAGATTGTTCAGCAGTTTTTCGTGCTTGCCACAAAAGTGCTGCAGGAAGTCCAAGTGGCACTCCTAAAGGGTAAAATTAATGAGTAATACAGTAGTATAGCTTATCAAAACAGGAGACTTCACCAATTTCGTCACCACAACGATCTCATCCACCATCATATGCGTGGATAATCCTACACGGCAAAAGGTATAGTTCTTATAAGTGGTCATTTTGCAATTTTCCGTGACATTCAAATGCGATTGGAGATATCTGCGTGGCATGGTAACTTTTGTGATGAAATAGCGCATCGGCAGAATTGCCTGAAAGAGCAGAGGCTCTGAGAATCGATCTTCGAAACTTTTCTGGGTAACGATTCCCAAGTAGTGTAAAATCTATTAGTCACAATGAGATTATTAGAATACATTTTAGATACTTCGGTGTATATGCCTTTCTCACCTTGCGGGCCAACTCCCGTTCACTGACAAACCTGTACTGGTAGTTCGGCGTCTTCCGGATCTTGACAAAGCTGCCAAATGCATAGATATCAGGATCATTCGTCCGGTAGTGCTCGTCTACCAGAATTTCGTTGCCATCAAACTCGATCTTGGAAGCCCTTAACCCTAAAGAGGTATTACTAGAGATATAATCAGTATTCTGCCTAAGGATACTCACAATGCTTGTGCCTTTGGTTAAGGTGTCCCTCCTCAAAGGAGATAAACAGATCACATTCGAAGGTCGCCTGCTTTCGACTGGGAAAATGCTGAAATATCACCTCCATAATGAAGTCCGACGATTTGTGCAGGTTGTAGTGGTGAAAGTCGTAGTCTATAAAGATCGAGACGCCTTTATCCTCAAGGATTTCATCCAGGATGAGTTGCAGATTTTTGTCCCAGTAGGGATTCTTTTCCTTCGCATCTGATTCCTTGCCTGTGTAACGATGAGGCTGGACGAAGACCATCCGCGAACAATCGACGCCATGGCCTATGAGAAAGGCAATGCACTCGTAGGTGTACAAATTGGATCCATACACCAGGACCAAGTAGGTTCGCGGCATATGCTCCAGGAGAGCCCGAACCTTGTAGAATAGCATGAACTTGTTCAGACGGAAGTTAAGTTCGACGAGGTTGCTGGGTCTTCCGGTGGTTACCGGCGTTTCCGGAGATCGAAGCACGAACATCCGATCACACATTAGAAGTAGGGTGTCGTAGTGTATTTCGCAGGACTCCAATTTCACCAGCTTTTTCTCCCTGTTTATGGTAAATAATTGGGTATGGGTTAGGTTTATAAGATGGGGGCATATCCTACCTATTAATCTGCTGCACCTTTCCGGGCACAAAGTGCACCCAGTATCGCAGGTCAAGGCGCAAACAACAATCCCTTACGAAGCAGGACTCGTTCTGGTAGGAAAGGTAGCATCCTAGGGTGCTCGTGCAATAAGGACACTTGAAAAGGCTGTCGTAATCCGCCTCCACGATTCCCGCCCGACATATCACAGTTACTTGAAGTCGACTTAAGCAGGTGAAGTTTTCCGAATTCTTGTGGCTAAGTAATATAATAAATCATATCATATCGCAGTCAAAATCTATACGATTTCTGATCCTTAAATAGGATAGGATAGGATAGGATAGTCTAAATAGAATAACTCACTCCTTGCTATTCCACTGAAAGACCAGCTGCCGTAGAAAAGCCTTGGTCAGTGCACCAAAACCAATTATGACCAGCTTCCTGCTGTTGGTGAACCACTTGACCGGATTGAGTTTGTGCCGGTAGATGGTTAGATAATCCTTGGCGAAATCGGGAGTGGGCACATGCAACCGGCTCTTCGGCTTCTTCTGATCCACATTGACTCCGGAAAAAACCGGAGCTTTTTTAACAGGCTTTGGCTCTAATACCATCATCATTTTCTTCAGGTCGTTGCTGTACTTATAACCCTGCAGAGTATTTTTTTCAAGAGATCATACGACCAGCATCCCATTAACTTACATCGAAAGCACTGATGAAGTAAAAGTCGTAGAAATTAGTCTTTCTGGCCAAATCCCTGAAGATCAGATCGGAGCTGACCAAGAAGAGGGGATGCAATCGCACCGATATGATCTCGGCCCTTCGTCGATCCAAATGATTGTCGTGCCTGGGCAGGTGGTAGTGGTCAAAGAGCTTGGCATGGCTGTGGAACTGCCGAAGCACCACAAATCCAATCGAAGTGTTTTCCTTGGCCGATCTCGTGGAGTTTCCGCACCGAATCGTAAAGACCGCAAACTCACTGAACTCGTTATCCAGCACATCCTTCATTATGGCATCCAGAAAATAAAGCTCGTGCTCCAGTTCCGCCCGCTCGTTGATCTTGGAGCAGTATGAGAAGCTGCTGGTGGTGCTGCTGGAATCGGCGGAATGTTCCTCTGCGTCCAAGTTTCCCAGGGCCATTTTTTGCACCACGGGCACATCCTCCTTTTCCAGTTTATACAGGCTAATATCCCCAAAGATGGTGCTCCGATGGGTAATGTACACCTCGTCGAGGTTGCTCACATCACTTGGTCTTGAGACCACGGGCTGGGGGATAAGACCTAGATTACTTGGATAATAAACTAAATAAAAAAACATTAGCTAAAAAATAATCAGATATTCTAAACAAACCATAAGATAGCTTTAATAGAGTGCTATCTCGGAATCTTCCATAAGGAGTTTTATGTAATCGTTATATTCAAGTGCATGTTAGTTAATAAAGTATTGTAGGATAACCATTTTAAATTGGTAATACTTGATAATAAAATGGGTTTTACCATAAAGTACTGCAACACCTCCAGATAGCTTTTGTTGGCCTTGTTCTTAGCATTCATCACCATCATGCAGTAGTCCCTATCTGGATATGCCCCGAACATGGCCACCATTGCGTTGAAGAGGCGTGGCAGAGGAAAATCCTGTTGCGCCACAATACACTTCAGGATGAAAATATTTGAGGCCGCCTCCCGAGCTGCCGGTCCTGCAGGCTCTTTTCCGGCGGGATATATGAAATTCATCACGTTCTGCTCGTGCCGCAAATAGTACTCAGTGCTGCGAAGTTCTAGGTGGACGAAAGTTAGGAACCTGGAGCTTCGAGAACAACACTAGAACTCACTCTCAAGGATGTACTTGAACTTGGAGTACAGGCATTCTCTCATATAAAACTTGTTTTCGCTCGCTGTGACTGTATCGTCAATTGTCCCACCGATGGAGCTTACCTTCATCTTTCCGGCGCTGGCCACACTGTTGAGAAAAATTCATTACATATAACATTTTAAATAAAACAATAATATTATAAGCAAGTTAGGGGTTCAAACCCCCGCACTTGGGGAAAAATGGAAAGAAAGTTGCATACTTTTACAAAAAAGGGCCTTCAAAAACCACCCACAGCCAAAATTAAATATTTTTCAGACAATGCTGGCTATTCTTTTTAAAGGCTATAATAAGTGTTCTGATTTTTTGTCAGTTAAAAACGTTATCCCACCTCATACCGCTGTCAATTTTCTGCAGACCTCCCAGGATCGTCATGGCATCCAATTCCTCCAGAGCATCTGCGGTGAACATACTGGCCTCTGCTCTTCGCTGGACCGAGCTGTTGGATACATGGTAAAGACGTACTGCATCCACTTGCGGCCCAATCACTTACGACACCGTCATCGTCTCATAGTGGAAGGACTTGCTATCGACGGGTTTCACCAGATTGCCGAATTGTTCCACCTCGTAGTTTTGCACATAAAACAAGATGTCTATGTCCGTGGTCAGCCACAGGAAGATGGCTAAGTCGGTCTCCTCGCACAGGTTTGTTGTCTCTGCCACAACCAGCAAACTCTTCTCGGCATCGGAATCCTGCCTCATCACCTCCTCCGCTATATAGAATTCGCCCAACTCCTCACGGAGTTCAGGCATCTCAACCGCTTGGAGTGCTATTATATCATCATTGTCTTCGGGTCTTAAAAAAATATATAAAAAATACATGAGGAAAACAGGAAAGTAATATAAAATATATGGCTATATCTGACGTTCTCTTTGTTCAATTAAAACTTTTATAAATGTTTACAAAGCTTACAGTGCCTTCCGGTAAGTAATCCTGGGCAGTATGTCGAACCGATGCACAATATATAAGGACTGCGTGTTAGAGTTGTTCTCCGTGCTAAACTCGTGTGGATAAAACACCTCGGCAATTTTTTCCAAATCGTCGAAGGTCTCATTGAAGTGGGAAGGTTGTCGAACATACGGATTCCTCACTGCGATAAGATACCACACCCTGTTCTCCCTGTACAACACCTCCTTAATGATTTCCACGAGAACGGCGGAGTACTCGCTCTTGTAAATGCAAAAGTTAAAAAACAAAGCATTCAGCCAGCTGATGGACACTGTCAAACTAATAACGAAATAGATTTTAAACACTAGAGTATTACGATTGCATAGATTGGATACCAGTATCTGACAGATAGCCATTCCAGCCAGCAATCCGTGGGCAAAGCTGACATGGACGGATAATTCCGGAATTCGGCATAGGCCACCAATTCAGAGGATTGTCTGCATAGGGCCACCATCCTGTAGGTCTGATAGGAATGGAAGAGGGTGTGCTTGCCCCGAAACTTTGGACGGATATTGCCGAACCACTTGACACCCGGCGATCGGATCAGCTTGCTAATCTCATCCAGGTCCGCCACTTCAGCCAGGCGAACATCAAATTCATACATCAGTGCGAGTAAGGTGTGTATAATGTGTGATTAAAACAAAAAGACATACTGAGTTTGCATGCCAGTAAGGTAAATAAATCATATTACCGCATTACATTTTATTTTAGTCATAAGGATGCAGGGAATACCTTTAGCCCAGTCATTTCAGAGGGGACTCTTTGTGGGCAGCGTTATTCCATCAATGAGATAGCACTTGGACTTGGCCTCCTCGCATTGATCCTTCGTTCCCGCATTGGCGCTGCCCTCCCAGCGGAAGTAGGGACACTCGTGCTTTTGATGATAGTCGCTCATGCACATAAAAACCATAAATAGGTAGGGACGACAGGCGTCTTTCAGAAGAACCTTTGCTCCGGGACTTGCCTTTAAAAGGTTATAAACTCCGACTGCGTCCTTTCGACAGTAATCATACATTTCGATATGATACTCCTTTTCCTTAGGCCTATCCACATACATTTTCTCTGCATCCAGTTTGACCATCTTCATGTTAATGGTATCGCTCTTACCAATGTACTTCTTTTGCTTATACAGGCACTCCACAAAGCACTGTGGAATATTATTAAATTTGAGTATTTTACGGGAAGAATCTTAACTCAGACCTTACAATAAATACCCACCGATAGAAACCTCAGGGTTTTTCCCAACTCACTATCACCATCCGCTGGTAATTTGGGCGAGTGTATTACGAAACATTTGACCAGGTCCTCTTCTTCTCCTACATAAAGCTCAGAGCAGCAGCCATCCCTCTAAATTTAAAACATATAAAATACCTTGTTTTTAAGATTTCCAAATTCAACTCACACTTTGGTTGCATTTATCTTCAGTTAATTCGCCTCCAGTTTCGACTTCTTCGGGATCCTGTGCCTCCGCTATGGCCACCACTACTAAAATCATCCAATAACTAAGTAACTTGACCATCGCTTTTCGAATGTTATTTACTTACCATTGCCATAACATTTATAAAAGCAAGCGCCCTCATTACTTGAATAAATCAATTTAAATACAAATTGGATTGCTTAATTAAATGTAACAAATGTCCCTAGTAATGGATGAAATTAAGCGAGCGGAAAAAGTGATATGCGACAGTTTGATGGCTAGACATTTGAGATATTGATGGCGATTTCCTGTTTATATTTAATCGATATGGGTGGTCACTATATAAGTAGTTGAAATAAGCTATTTTTTTCAGAAACAGCAGAGCAATGAAGTGCACAATTCTATGGAGCTTAATCAGTCTGATTTGGGTGAGTCCTTTGGCTTAACTGAAGGCTGATTGTTGAAATGTAATTGCAGTTCGCTAGTGGAATTAAAATTGATTGCGAAAACACGGAGGGCATTAATGAGGAGCACATTCATTATTGCTGCAAGCATCCCGATGGACACAACGATATAATCGAGGACTGTGCCAAGGAGACCAACTTCCTGCTGCCCAATCAAAACGAGGAGGCCTTGGTGGACATCACAGCGGACCGGGCAATCCGAGGCACTTGTTTTGGAAAATGTGTCTTCAGCAAACTGAATCTCATGAAGGACAAAGCCCTAGACATGGATGCAGTGAGAACATATTTCACTGCCAAATTTCCTGACGATCCGGAATATGTCAAGGAAATGATCAACGCCTTCGATCACTGTCATGGCAAGAGTGCGTATCAGATATATATGCCTAAATAGTTATATTTTTAATGTTCTTCCTCAAGGTGAGGAGATTACCTCCACTTTCCTCGCCAAGCCCCTCTTCAGGCAGATGTCCGAACACTTCTGCGAGCCCAAGTCCAGTGTCATTCTGGCCTGTGTGATCCGCCAGTTCTTCCACAACTGTCCGGCGGAACGTTGGTCCAAGACCAAGGAGTGCGAGGACACCTTGGCCTTCAGCAAGAAGTGCCAGGACTCGCTGGCTACTTTGTAAATATTCACTATAGAGCTTTTGGGCAATAAAGAACATACAGTCTATATTAAACGATTTTTACTTTTTTATTTTATTGTGATTTTTTTAAAACTAATTAAAATAATAATCAAATATAACGAAATAGTTATAATTAATACTTTGTAAACTTTAATAGGCAAGCATATATAAAAGCCATAATGTATATATAATGTTATATGTTCTTTGTCCATCGTTGATAACAAAAACCCATACCCACGGAAATCCCCCTACGTCCAAATTAAGGATCCGCAAATACTTTGTATTTAAGCCAACAAAATTAATACCAAAACATAAAACATTCTTGTGAAAATGTTTTTATCTTTAAATTTTGGATGAAGTTTCTGAAAGCCGTTTTGTTAGCTTGAATACTTAAAAAATCCATTAAAACTAACAATTTTTAAAATTTGTAGTATCAAAATTTTAAAAAATGTTAAATAAATATGTTGATATTACATTTTTAAGTACCATTTTAGAAATTTTATTTTTACATTGTTGTCAGCACATCCTTGCACTTCTTGGCAAAGGCCAAAGTTTCCGCGCACTCAGTGGTGTTCGACCATCGACTTTTCGGACAGTTGTGGAAGAAGTTGTAGATAACGCAGGACATAATAATACTTGAGGTTGGTTTGCAGAACTTAGAGGTGGCAAAGGCCCTGACAATTGGCAGCGACAGAAACTGTTCGGTGGCATCCTCAGCTATTAAGGATATTTACTAATTACTTTTTAAAAATTTTGATACAAAACTTAACTTACACTTTGAGTGGCATCTCTCGTAGGCATTTAGCATTTCTGTTTCATATTCCGGATCCGTTGTATGGTACCTTTTGTAATAGGAACGAACCTTCATCATATCCAGGGTGCAATTCTCCATCAGATTGTAATGATCAAAGACACATTTGGCCCAGCAGGTTCCGACCATCGCCTGGTCCACTGTCACATCCTCGATGGCCTCCTCATCGGGTTTCGGCAGTCGAAAGTTGGTCTTCTTGGCACACATTTTTGTGACATCGTTGTGACCATCGGGATGTTGGCAGCAATGGTGAATGTTCTCCTCATGAACACTGTCCGTGTGGCGGCAGTGTATACGAATAGCCAAGAGTTCGTTCTAAAGAAAAGATATATCAAATTAGAAATTATGCAAAGATATCAAGATATCATATCTACTTTAAAATAACACAGTTCCATCTTTAATATCTTACAGTACTTAATGTTTATTAAATACTGTAAACAGAATGGATCTAAATAAACGAAACCACCTTTTGAAAAATCGTTTAATGCAATTACAAATTGTAAACAATGCAATAAATACGAACCGAAAGCTGTGTTAGAACCACACAAATCACAAAGCCAGTTCTCAGCATGATGACAGCTTCCAGCGATTTAGCCTCGCTTTTCCACCGTTTTATATGCCAAATGGTTCCCCTTTGATGGACAGCCCTAATGGCGTTTTGCAATGTTCCGCATTAATTTAATTCGCATCCATTATTATGGCAACAAACCTGGCAACGGAGGGCAAACTAATGTGGAGTTGGTGGGTGGGCTAGTGAATCTTGTCATGGCAACGCCGGCAATCAAATTGTTATTTATTTTCCGAGTCGCGGCTTTTGCTCGCTTAATTAGTCAGCGATTGGCCTTTGAAATTTGATAAGCTGATTTTCGGGAAAAAATAAAAAACGAAATCATGGGCAAAAAGGGTAAAGGAAAAGGCAATAAATTGGCCAAAATGTCCGAAGAGGAGCGTGCCCGGTATTTGCAAATGAGGGCCGACATGGAGGAGGAGACCAGACGTCGGAAAATGCAGCTTATTTCGATGTACATGAAGGTATTATTCTGTGAATTTTAAAATAACAAAGTCTGTCAGGTCTCTTTTCCTTTTTAAATAGAACAAACTGAAAAGGGAGGATGCTTTTGGTCGCTTGAACATGGCAAAAATCAACCAGGAATGGCGCAGCATTTTGCGTCAGGTGAAAATACAAGAGTTGCGCCGCGAGATTGTCGATGTGGAGTCCTTCTTTCAGGAGGCTCTGAAACGCAAGGACCAGGTTATCCATCGCCTTATCGCTCACATAGAATCCACCGAGGATATGTACGCAAATCTGCAGCAGTCGCATATGGAAAATATCACCAGAATCGTTGGTAAGTTCGACATATCAGAGAAAAAATCATAATCATACATTATACTACCATTACGCATTTAACTAAACTTTTCCGAAAAATTTTATCATTTTCGACTTCGAAACTTCTAGATTCCAGAAATATATTTTTATAACAAATAGTGGTAAATTATTTCGAGATCTCTAAAAACGGAAAATAATGGAGTATTTGTGTGTACATTACTGACAATAAATGTATAATAATATAAAATTAGAATAGCCCGAAACAATGAAAAACTGTCTGTTTTAAACCCAACTTTTTCCTAGACACCCATAGAAGTCGCATAGAGTTCTTCCGTACCATCTACGAGGACGACAAGCTGGCGGTGCTGAGCCAGTGGGAGCAGGACTCCGCAGGATTCAAGGAGATACATGCCCAGAAGCAGCAGCAATTGGAGTGCGTCTTCTACCAGCTGGAGGAGAACACCGATGGTGGTATTCGGGACAACCACGAGCGTTTCCTGGATCGCTGCGAAGATCTAAAAAGTGGGGTAAGTTTAAGTGAAGAGCATGCTGGCGTGCTCCTGCCAATCCTCGCATTGGGCCTTCGCGTACTCCGACATGCATTTCACCAGTTCCCGGGACACCGAGCACTTGTTGTGCCGGCCCCTTCCGGTGCTCTCCAAATACCGGAAGCACTGTTGCACGGTGTCCGTGAAGAAGTTGCGCAGCTCCCGCTCCCGAATGTCCTTGGTCAGCAGATAGCTCACCTTGCGACGATCGGGCATCCCATTTCCGTCCACCTGGGAGGGAGGAGAACTTAGTGGGTTACTATTGCACAGAAGAAACAAGGATCGATTTGGTATTTGCATGGTACATTTATAGGGTATCATTTCAGTCTCTTTAAATATTCTCTCAAATCAATATCGAATAAGAGAGAATAGAGCGAAATAGTGTCTAGAATTACTCTGGGTGAGAGCGAGGAGCAATATTCGAAACTCTCCGAACTAGAAAAAGGATCGATTTGATATTTGCATGGTACATTTATAGGGTATCATTTTAGTCACATTAAAAATTCTCTCAAATCAATATCGAATAAGAGAGAATAGAGCGAGGTAGTGCCTAAAATTACTCTGGGTGAGAGCGAAAGAGCAATATTCGAAACTCTCCGAAATAGAAAAAGAGAGCAAAAAGCAAGATGGCGAACATATCAAAGTGATACGAACCGTATGTATATAGAACTAACACTGAATTTCATTAAAATGATCATAATATCTTATCTTATCAATTAGAAATAAGGAATATGTAGAAATTCAATGTAGGATCCTAGGACAACATACCATATTCATCTCCTCGAAAAAGCACTGGGCCACACACTGACCTCCATCGCTGCCTGTGTTGTTTCTGCTCTCCGGCTGCCTTAGTCCTCTTGGCCGTCGGTTGCCATAGATGACCCTGCTGCCTTGACTTCGATCCCTTTCCTGGTCTTCATCCTGATCCCTTTCGTAATCGAATCCATAGCCGTCGCTCCCTGGTCTGCTCTGCCCTCCTCTTCCTCGATCCTCGTTGTCGTCCTGCCGATGCATGCATCCGCGTATCGTCCTTTTGATGTCCACCTCGCCCAATCCCTCCTGGGATCGGCACTTAAGGCCGGAAATGAAGCAGCAGCAGCAGCTCAGGCAAAGTAGTAGCACAGCGAACAGGTGCATCTCGGGAACTAATGGGGGAAGTACTTAGGTCCACGTTATTTATAGTTCTGGAGAGTGACATCCAAAATTACAGAATGACTGGCATGTAAAGTCACATATCAATCTTCAGTTTGAAATTGCGTGCCTTTTGCCTAAAAGTGTCATGACTCGACCTTAGGGCAACTTTAAAGTTATGGTGCTCTGTGCCAACTAGCATAGAAGCACTGCACTACCAATCGAATAAAATTGAAATGAGTTGAAAATGTTCTTAAAAATAGAACGACATTTTTGAAGATGAAAATGTTTTCATTTTGCTCGCGTCAAATTCGCGCGTTGAATTGCCGGTATTTTCTGTTATATCTCAACAAATAAACTATTAGTCAAGTTCGTAGTGAATACTTATCAAAAATTTGTTAAGTAAACTCAATTTATCTTTTCTCTTCTCACCATTTCGTTATAATATTGAGAACTTTAATACCAAAATGAGCTTAGACGGTTTTTAAGAACGAATGTTCTCAATTAAGAACAATATACTTAAATATTCCTCTGTATGAATTTTTCTCATTCGGCACACTGGAATGCAGTATAACTGTAGAGGCTCTACGTTTTTTATTAAGCATTCCGAAAGAGAAAATTTAGAAAGTGTATTTATTTAGTAGATCGAATAATCCACTTTCGGTGCAAAGGTTGATATCAGAACTGGTCAGAGTTAAAGGTGCGATCGTCACTAGACTTTTACCTCGTTAATATTTATTTTTGTTTGATTTGTTATCACAAGATAAACTCTATTTCCAATTAAAATGATTATTTCCCGGTTTCCAGATGCATCTCCAGCTTGAGCAGATTACCTCCAGGGGTGAGGCCAAGTTGGAGAAGCTGTGGCAGGAGTACCAGGCTGTCCTGGCCGGCTACTGCCAGCACATCGAAGGTTTCTACGCGGAGTACGTGGACCTCAAGCAGCGGGATGAGGAGGCCGCCTTCCAGATCAGCCAGCAGACGCACGAAATCGAGCACCTGGTGGACCAACTGGCCAACCTGCGTCTGGTCTCCGAGGAGTTCTATGTGAAGCAGCAGGGGCAACTGGAGCAGCGACAAGCCATCAAACAGCAGTTGAAGGAACGCCTGAGGGAGCTGCGCACCTGTGTGGAGCAGGAGGTGGCCCGGGATCACCAGGCCTTCAAGCTCATGTCCGTGGAGAGCTACAATGCCCTGGAGTCCCTGCAGGAGACCGTTGGCAAGGGCGAGACTTTGGTCCAACTGTCGGCGGTCTGTGCCAAGATGGAAACGCAGCGGGAGAAGATGTTTCAGTTGCCGGAAATATCCCGCGAGATTATCGAGATACGTGAAATAGAGGGTCATAATAATGGAGCCTTCTCTGATCCAGACACTGATCTACTTAAAGTGGGTTTACATTTTTTCAGCAAGATTAAAGTAACACACACATTTGCAATCCCATTTTCCAGGACGAGGTCGCCGTGGTGCCCCAAATGGAGACCTTCTGGCGGCGGGTCAACAACGTGGCCGTGGACGTGGCCTGCCTGAAGCAGCAGAAGCGCCGCCTGGAGGCGGAGAACGGCCAGCTGAAGGCGCAGCTGCAGGAGTACCTGGTCAATTTGAACATCGCCCACGGCTCCAACAGCCACGTCCACAATTATCTGGCCCGGCGACCCAAGAGCATGTCCGTGGACCGGGTGGCGCGCCTCCAGCTGCAGCCGAAGCAGGTGAAAAGTGCCCTGCCCACTGGCCGCCGCCCACCAGCGCGCACGCCGCCCACTTTCCACTTTCACCCGGGTCGAAATCGAGTGCCCGCCTTCGATGCCAACTTTTCAAATGCGGTGCGCTCAAGGACTTTACTCAGGAGCAGAGTGGAGTAGGTGTGACACTTTAATATTTTAATTAACTTTGTTTCAGAACCGGTATTTCTATTTTAATATTCTTCGCTTTTTTTCTTATATTACTACTACTACTAATTTTTAATATAGAAATATTCAGTTTAACCATCATAGTCATATATTATGAACTTTAATTTAACGACATACATTTTTTAAAGAAATATTTATTAAATATTATTATACAAAAAAAAATATTAAATTAAGCCAAGCTATTTAACATATAATATATTCCACCTTTTTTCAAATATTTGTAATTTAAGTCAAGCCATTTAATATGATTTGTATTAAATACATTTTTTTAAATTTGTTATAAGAAACTTCGAATTCAATATGTAGGTTACTTTAACTTTGTTATTGTTTTTTTAGTGTAAATTTAGTTTAACAAACGGACGAGAAAACGACTATTAGACTTAATAAGGAATAGGACATTATAAGGACCAAAAATGGTAAGCAACACCATCTCTGTAATAAAAATACCTTAAACTAAATAGTTTTGTTGTTTGCCACAAAACTGTTTTATATTTTTATATAATTTACACTTATAATTACCCTTACAAATATATATAAACATATAAATATATAAAAATAAGAAAAGTAAATAATAAAAAGTGTAAATATTGACCACGATGGTTATTTTCAAAATGTTAAGACCGCTAAAATGTTAAATTCAAACAGTGACTTCGGCCAGCGATGCCACATCACCGAGAAGAGGTGGTGTTTTGGTATTTTTTTGGTATATTCCTTATCGGGCCGCTGGCGCGTTTCACTCTCCCGCCCGTTCCGCTGGCACCGACCATTAAATCCCGATTCCCACCGTTGCGCTCTCAGATTTCCACAGACACGACCCACGTCCAATTTGAGTTTTCACTGCGCCCGTGAATCGCATTAAAAACGCAGGAAAATAGTTAATTTGCAGCAGCTAAATTAGAGTAAGTGTGGGCCCCACGAAACTGGGATATAACCGTGGACCTAGTGTGTGATAAAGCCCAGTTTTCGAGCGTTAAAAAGTGCAGCTGCTTGTGGATGTAACGCAAATATTACAAGGAGTTATAGATACAACACTCTGTTATAGATACAACAACAAGCGGAACGGGGGGAAGTCCCAGGAACGGCAGGCGGTGCGAGCGAGAGGGAGTGAGTGAGAGTGTGAGCGAGAGGGGTGCAGTGGCAGTGGGTTCTTGTTCTTGTAATTTTACCAAAAAGAAATTTCGTTCGGGAAATGTGGAAAATGTGCGCGAGGAGAGCTGATGGTGAAAACAACCCCGAAAAGCGAACAATCGACGAATAAATACCAACAAAACTTACACTGCGCGGCTGATTAATAAAAACCAAAGAAAGAAAAAAACAAAAAACCCAAACTTAAATCGAAATAAAAATCGTTATAAGGTGAAGGTGTGAGAGCGTGTGAAATCAGAACTCCAAATCAGAATTTGGATTGTAAATTTTCGGGGTTCGGTTCGGCTGCCTTTCGAATGGGAGATAAACACAAAGAGAGATAAATACGGAAATAAAATTAATGGAAAACCAGCATAGACACACACAGATACGCATGTGGGTGTGAGTGTGTGTAGTGTGAGTGCTTATCGCATGGAAATGCAACCGTAAGTGGAGCAGGCGAGTTATAATTTCGGAATTTTGGACAGATAAAAAGCAAGTAAACCCCGCAAAGCCCCTCTATAATGGCGCTATACTGCTGCCACGCCTAACAAAACGAATCATCCTAACAGCTGCCCACATTTCGTTAACCCCCCTCCATATCGATATCATCCATCTTAGGACCCAAAAACAACGCCAAAATGATACCCGCTGCTTTGGGTCATCTGTAGAGTCGTCATCGCAAGAGCACCACCATATAATGCATCCCATGCATCCCGAAAACCACGCCATCGCCCGGAGCACGAGCACCACTATTAACCCTTCACGCAGCCGGGGCAGCAGGATGCGGCTCCTGCCCGCTTGGCTGCTCCTCATCCTGGTGGCCAGCACTGGTCTGCCAGCAGTCAGAGGTATGGCTTGAAACGCTTCAGCGGCATCCAAACTCCAGGCCAAATGGCTCATCCATATCCCCAATATTTCCCTTAACCCTTTGCAGGCCAGTACCAATCGCCGCGCATCATCGAGCATCCCACGGATCTGGTCGTCAAGAAGAATGAGCCCGCCACACTTAATTGCAAAGTGGAGGGCAAGCCGGAACCCACCATCGAGTGGTTTAAGGTACCCACAAAATAATACTTATCCAACTACAACTCCAAACTCTAACCATAAAACTACACGGCAAAAAAAAGGTTCTAGTCACCATTCATAGTTCATCTCTATACTTTCTGATTTCTCTATTACTCAAAGCTCAATAAATAAACAAATTTTTTGGTAGAATTAATAATTTCCACTTATTATTCACTATACATGAATAATGATTATCACCTTAAATTGATATGCTAGACATATAGAACATGATATGTCAAATCAAAGAATTGATCATAATATCTTATCATTTTTTCATTTTTATGGAGGCTTTTCTGGTAAAGAACTTACACATTAGCAAGGATATAACTTCATAACTTCAAATTAAGCACTGGGAACATCATTTTGGTTTTTTTCATATAAGTTGGTTTCAATTAAAAAGTTCTATCTGTGCCTAAATCGTGGAAGAATTGGGTTTCAGTATAACCCAAAGTTACATCATAACATACATAGGTATCATCTCTTTCATCGTGCCATTTTTTTAAATACTCTATAATCGATCAAACCTGAAAACCTGAAACTATTTTTAGTCGTTATTAAAAGTATAGGTTGTTAGTTTTCAGATAAATTAATTTCATTATTTTAATATTCTTGCACTAACTATATATTGTTCATATCAAACTACAATACAAAATATATTATAAAATTTATAAATAATATATATAATTTTAAGTGTTAGTATTGGTTATTAGTTTTCAGATAAATTCATTTTTTTATTTTAAAATATTTATACTAACTAGAAATTCTTCATATCAAATCTTAATACAAAATATATTATAAAATTTATAAACAATATAGATAATTTTAAGTCCGTCCTAGTTCCTTTGAGTGTAGAATTGAGAGCCCTACCAAATCGTAACTCTTTCCCCCCTTTCTCCGCCCGTTTCTAGGATGGC